TTTCCTGCTTGGCTCTTTCTCATTGCACAATGAGTGCCTGCTTCCATCCTCTGCCTCCCCCCCCCAGATGCCCACTCAGACAAGGAGGCAGGGGGTGGCTACTGGAGGAGGCGGAGGAGGGAACAGGACATGTCAAATGCCCAGGTGGCTGCTGGAGGAGGCGGAGGAGGGAACAGGACAGGTCAAATGCCCAAAGAGGAGGAGAACAGCAGCATGCACTGGCTGGCCAGTGGGGGAAGGAAAAGCCAATGACTTCAGGTGACCCTGCATGAAGCAATTTGTGTCAATTTCTAGAATACAGACAACTGATTCTACATCCTCTGAGGCGGAGCATCACACCTCACTTTTGCCAACTGCAACTTGGAACTTTATTCAGACTACAGATCCTCTACCTTTAGGATCTAGCCAGGATAATATCTGGGTTTCTCAATTTCTCCCACCCCATCCTATGCTCTATAGCAGCGATGGCGAACCTATGGCACACATGCCACAGCGGGCATGGGTTTCTCAATTTCTCCCACCCCATCCTATGCTCTATATGTGGTCATGTGAGCCATAAGTGGTCATTGAGAAATACTTACCCAGCCTTTTGGTTGGTCAATTAAATGCATTTCCTTGTTTTCCAGCTACTAGGTTGGCGGCTGCTGGGACAAGCAACGGGAGTTCACCCCGTTGTGCAGATTTGAGCTGCTGACCTTTTGATCGACAGCATTTCTCCCACCCCATCCTATGCTCTATATGTGGTCATGTGAGCCATAAGTGGTCATTGAGAAATACTTACCCAGCCTTTTGGTTGGTCAATTAAATGCATTTCCTTGTTTTCCAGCTACTAGGTTGGCGGCTGCTGGGACAAGCAACGGGAGTTCACCCCGTTGTGCAGATTTGAGCTGCTGACCTTTTGATCGACAGCCCAGTGACTTGGCACTTTAACCCAGAGCGCCGCCTGAATCCCCCTCCAACGTGGCACCCACTGTAGAGTAGAGATGGGCAACTTTGTTGGGTCTGGGGCTCAGTGTCTGCCACAGAATCCTCTGCAGGCAGCACAGAACCACCAAAAATGCCAAAGGATACGAAAAATAAAACCAAAAATAGACAGTCTTCCATCTGTGCAGAATGCTTATTCTGAGGTGCTAAACACTGCAGAGAACCTGTGGCCTACTAGAAAGGCAAACTCCAAGAGCAGTAATATATATTTTTGTATTGGTTTTTCTTTTGCCATAAGAGGCAGTTTGGGGAAGAGCGGGCAAAAGGGGTTGCTGAACAAACTGCCTTGGAGGCCATATACGGCCACAGGGGTGCGATTTGCCCATCACTGCTTTAGAGACAGATGTATTATATTGGAGAAATCAAGAATGATCTGCCTTTAATAAATACTGTATATGTCCTGCCTTTTCCCCAAGAAGCTCAAGTGGACATACATGGCCTGCCTCCATTTTATCCTAGTGACACTGTGAGTTTCATTAAGCTGAGAGATAGTGACTGGATCAAGACCACCCGAAATGCTTCCCATCTACATGGGGATTACAACCTGTCTCTCCCACCAAAGCTAGCCTGATAAGGGCTCTTAATTTTTTTTATTTCCAAACACAATTGTTGGCTATGGGCTTCTGAAGAGCAGAGAACTAAGCTTTGATCTGGTAGGTGAAATTAGAGATCAAATAGAAGCAAAAAAAAATTGAAGCAATTAAGACTTTACTGCACCTTTCTGAACTGCACGGGTTTTTAAAAAAATCACCATTAACAATGCCAATGGAAGAATAAAAATATTTGCATTTGCACTCCCAAGGACACCATGTTTAAAAAATGAAAAAGAAACACATGTTTACATTTCAGTATAAACATCGTCTTAATGAGGGAGCTGATAATAAAAGTTCAACGGGTAAACAGGCTGTGAAATTAAAGCATCACGGTTAATCACCACTACTGTGTATAATTCCATCTGTGGTCTTAAAAAGAAACGGGATCCGAAAATGCCCTCTTCAGAGGATACACAGAATACTGGACAAAAAGGGAGGCTGAAAAGAAACAGATTATTGGAAAGCACTCGATGGAAAGCTTTAAAAGGCCCAGCATATCTAGACTGTAAAGCAGGAGATGTGGTTTTGCAATGGGTCTGCACCCATCCACACAGGTAATGCGCCTCTCCGCTTTTTATGCTGAAAGATTGCGCTACAAATGTCAATTCCAAAACGTAATGAACAAAGCAGGTCGTAAAAATATAATCATCACTTCACGTCTTCTCTTCGTTTAATCATAATGCCGCCATTGCTAATCTCCTCCAACAGTAGCACGGAGAACAAACTGTTAATTTTAGCAAGGGTGGTGGGAGGGAGGGAGGGGAGACCCTGGATGCGATTTCTCCTCCATTCGAATGGTCTGCAAACGCTTCCCTCCCCTCCTTGCCGCCTGTCAAAGACAAATGCACCCGCTCTGCGATGTCGTGCGCACACCCACACCCACTGATCCATCCATATCGGCAAGGTCTGTACCCATCCCCCACTGCACAGTCTTTTCACCGCATCAGACATGTCTATTCTTACCGGACCCTTGATGAGCAGAGATGCACTTACTGTTTATAAGGAAAAACCATTCCTTAGCTTATCAGGTCCAAAGCGGCAGGGAGAGCATCTGAATGAGCCAAGCTCTCAGGGAAGAGGAAACCCCTCCTCCCCAGATGCCCTATTTAATAACACTGCATTTAACATCTCCCATAGAAAGAAAGGGAGGGGAAAACACCCACCCACACACACACACCGACATCTTTTCCTTCTTCCTTCTCCTCTAAGTCCCCCAGCAGAGACGCATGCATACATACACAGCGCTCTCAAAACACTGGCTGGATAACAGTGTGGAAGAGCGAACACCACCTTTATTCTCCTTTCTGCGGCATCCAGATCTCCCAGTATCACCACGTCATTCTCCCATAAAGCTGGAGACCTTGTAAAACCAAAACACGTTCAATTCTGGCACATCAGAAATAAGATTGATATGGGGGAATGTGGCAGAGGTAGGGGAGGCCGTAAGTGTCTTATTGGGGGGGGGGGAGGAATAAGTCACGGTGGTTTGATTCCTCTTTAAAAGTTTCTGCAGAAGATACAGATATCTTTTTAAAAAATCACAAAAAACTGACAAAGGAACACGATAGAATAACTAAAGATCCAGTGCTGTACCCCATGGCCATTGGAGAAAGCCAGCATTTCTCTGCCGGTTCTGGAATATTTGTTTATTCTATAGGCATATGAACGTGTGTGTGTGTGTGTGTGTGTGTGTGTGTGTGTGTGTGTGTGAGAGAGAGAGAGAGAGAGAGAGAGAGAGAGAGAGAGAGAGAGAAGAGAGAGAGAGAAAGAGAGAGAGAGAAAGAGAGAGAGAGAGAGAGATTGAGAAGGGCAGCAAAAAATTCATGTACTGAATTTTGAAAAAGAGATATTCACTCAAGTGACTGGTCAGCTGAAAACCTCCCTGTCATAGGGGACACACATGCCATGACCTCTTTGAAGGATGAGTGGAAACACACATTAATAACAACAAAACAATTTTAGACTCATGCACCCAATGACATGTTCTTGCACTGCTATTAATTCGTATTAATAACTCAGTGTTGTAGAAGGTTATTGGGGTTATCTTTCGGGAAACAGATCTGCTTCTCTCCCACCTTCTGCTTTCTATGGTATCCCATGTCAGAGCAACGGGATACCATTCCAATCATAACTTCTAAGTGTCCTAAAAGTTTCTGCAGTCAAAGTTTGCACAGTTTATAAGCCAGTGACCAAAGGCACACTGGCAGTGCATCTCATCTGAGAGATCTGATGCATTTCTTATGGTCACTGCATGCATCAGTGGAAACTGCTGCAACTTGTTTAATTTCCTGGTTGAATTATATATCAGAACATAACCCAACAGGGTTTCCAATGTCTTATGACAGTCGTAGCCGCCTTTTTCCAGACACACGTTTTCAATTATGTAGCATCATGGCTGTGGATGGAATTTTACCCTGCAACATGAACCAAAAAAAAGGACAGATTTCTGCCCCAAAGAGATAGCAATTTCAATGTCAAGAATGGGGAAACAGATAGTGAGGAGAGGAGTGAAACAGTAAGAAAGGATGCATGTAAGTAAAGACAGGTTTACAGTCTTACAATCAGATCAGAGATGTGAAGATGTTCGTGTCTTTAGAGCTGGGATGGATGATGCTTTCATGGTGAATAACAAGTGTTTTCAGTGGAAGCAGAATCAGAATGATGGAAAAGGGAGATAAAGATCTAATCCATTATTATTGTCACCATCCCTATCCAGACCAGGGCCACATGGGAACATATCCCATTGACAACAGCAGAAGAATCCCCCCCCCGCCCCAGATTTGAATAGGAGGCAGGAAACCCAAAGGGATACAGCTTCCTTACCAGCCAACCTATTTGTGTGTGTGTGTTTTAATGTATCTATTTACCTATCCATCTTCTTGCCTATCATACATCTAGTCTGACCATTAGGATGACCTCTCACTTTTCTGATTCAGCACTAAAGTATGTGCCTCAAAGGGGCTTGAGTAACTCAGAGAAGCTATGGGCTATGCCGTGCAGGGACACCCAAGATGGACAAGTCATAGTGGAGAGTTCCGACTAAACGCAATCCACCTGGAGTAGGAACTGGCAATGCCACTCCAGTATCTTTGCCAAGAACGCCCCATGGTCAGAAACAAAAGGCTAAAAGATATGATGACTATTGTGGGCAAGAATCCCGTAGACACAACTCCGGGAGGCAGTGGAAGATAGGCGGGCCTGGCGTGCTCTGGTCCATGGGGTCACGAAGAGTCGGACACAACTAAACGACTAAACGAACGAACGAACGAACGAACGAACGAACTCAAGAGCAAAGAACATTTACTTCCAGCCACATTGTATTGAGCGGAAACCAATGCAATTCCAAAACAGATTAGCATAGTGTTCATATCCCCTTTCGATTTAGTGCCCCATCACAACAGCTCCGATGTCAGTTTCATGTGGCAATATTCAATATCCTGAACAGTCTTTCAGAAGCATCCCATGAATTTATATGCATGCATCACATTTAAAACAGGACAGATGTCCACATGTTATTCTTTTGTTGCTATTGTTTGGTTCCCTAGATACGCCAAGTTCCCAGGGCCCATCCTTGTTTGATGCGCATCTATAGTCCAGCTGCTTTCAGGCCCAAACAGAGACACTGCGAATGGCGCAAGCCAAACATGTACTGGCACAATGGAAAAGGCTAAACAGTTCTGTGCAACTGGTGCCATATGGCAAGGCTGAGCTTCTCTCCATGAACTAAAAGAAGCACGTTAAGGACTAAATGGAAATCTCACCTGATTTGCCCATCTGTCTTGGGCCATTTATTGGTTTAAGGTGAAGCAAGTTGTTTACGGCAAGGCACTGCTTTGACCAGCGACTTTCAAACTGGCTCTGCCGATGCACTGAAATGTTTCTAATACGTGTCTGCCTCAATCATTTTGGTGATGCTGACTTCATCTAACATTTAGTCAAAGCCAGAATGGGTAAGCTCTGGACGTCAAGAGTCCATTTCTTTACTTCCAGGGGCTATACCGGCACCTCCAAATATAACTGGGAGTGGAAGATCTTATTTTTGAAAAAACTTTGGGTTATCTTTTTACCCTCTCTCTCTGCTAGAACAAGGTGTTGGCCAGTGCGGTACGCTTTCTTTTAGAGAGGAATCCCATTCTCTACTTGTGTGATTGATTCTTCCTCTTTCCGAAAAGGCAGGAGCAAAGATTTGGCATAGTAATGCTGGAGAGAAAATCAGGCAGAGATGTCTCTTTCTTTCTTTCTTTCTTTCTTTCTTCCTTTCTTCCTTCCTTCCTTCCTTCGTCTTCCTCTCTGTCTTCCTCCCCCTTCTCTTGCCATGAGCTAAGTGCCCTCCTTCATGGGCCACCATGAAATGGACTACCTACCTACCTACCTACCTACCTAAGTGCCCTCCTTCATGGGCCAACATGAAATGGATAGGCTGCTTTTGCCAGAAATCTGAAGTGAATATATGCAGATTTCCCAATTTTTCCAATTAGCCTAAGTGCTTCTCTGCTTACCCCTCCTGCAGCAGTTACACCCTCAGAAAAGGGATACAAAGGGAGAAACACACCTGTAAAGTATTGCGAAAAAAGGGGGGGAAATTCTCTGCATCAAATAATGGCACAGACAAAACCATTTTATTCCAACTCACTTCTCCAATGTTTGTTCCTTTCTTTTCTTTTTAAGGAAATGTGCTCCCTACCACAAAAAAGTTGTCACTTTTTTTCTTATTTACCATGCCTTATGCTATAAAGCTTTCTTTATTTTCCTTTAACAAGGAACCAGACTTCACTGTGCTTCCTTGCTTATGTTCACCTGTGAGATTTTGGAGCACACAAATATATGATGGGATGGTGTCAAAGACACAGGTAGCAGTGCATAAATATTATAGGGAGAGGCTGAGATTTCAACTTGGGTCTACAATTTGTGGTAGCAATTCCATTGTCCTCCCTCTGTGTTTACTTTCTAAATTCACTGTGAGATATCTAAGTCAAATAGGTACATGCCAGTCCAAAATCTGAGGCCGTGTTGCATCTGAGTCTTGACAGAGGACAGCTTCACATAGTCTGTAGATTGATGAGCTGCATTTCAGTGCTAGAGCATTCAATCCATGTGCAGAAAGTTCTATGTCCACTTCCTGCATTTCTACTGGGGCAATGAAAGAGCCTTGCCTGAAATGCCAGAGAGCTGATGCTGGTCACTGTTGATAATACTAGATGCACCGAGGCTCAGACTCAGGTTTTTATGTTCTAGAGTCTAACCAAGTGCCAGACAAGGCTAGGAAAGACTGCTGCCTCAGCTCCTAGATAGTCGGGGGCATCAACACGGCCAGTACTGAGCAAGACAGATCAATGATCTCATTTGGTACAAGACTGTTTCCTTGCTGCTCAGCATGTGCAAAACAGGGAGCTGTATTCAAGCAGCCACTAAGGTGGACACCTATATGTTTCTCAACCATGCATCGTTCGCATTCATAATTTATTTTCAATTCTTTTTAAAGCCCCTCTGGTTTATGAACGTGGGGATATTGTGCTTCTGTACCCATGGTTCAAAAAACCAGGAAATGGCCTGATAATCCTATGCATTATCACACCCGCGTTGCCAGCAGAAAAAAGGATGCCAACATTACATAGTAAAGGGCAGCCTGATTGTTGACAACACCAATGGCAGCAGTCAAGATGGTCTACAGGATACCCTCTTCTGCTCACTACCATTCACAAAGTGACACCAAGCATGGGAAAATCCCAGAAGTTGACTCCTGTTTTTATCAGTTAACCACTTCTCACCCAATTGTTACAATTGTCAGGACTGTTTTACAGCAAGTGTGAATGGTGGGGCCAAATTTGGTGTTGAACTGAGATTCATAGCTGTCAGGACTGTTTTTCAATAAGTGTGAATGGTGGGGCCAAATCTGGTGTTGAACTGAGATTCATAGCTACTATTCTTTTAGTTGGCTTATGGAATGTTGAATACTGCTGTCAGCACAATATATTGGTGCCCAGGAGCACCAGTATATTGTGCTCTTATGGATTCGGCATTTCATAAGCCAACTCAAAAAATAGGGGTGGCCCAAACGAGAAACATTTTAGACAAAATGCAGTGGGTTGAGCACTTTACAAGTTGCTAGTTTTATATGCATTTACTGTACAACTCATCAGTCCACATCATGACCATCAATTCTCTACCAGTTAGCTGTTTCTTTTCTTACCGTCCACCAATGACATCAAAGAGGTGCTGCCAGCGGTCGTTAATTTTGTTGAGTTTCTCATCAATTTCAGCCACTCTTTTCTTGTTGCTTGCTTTCATTAGCTGGTCACCCATTTGCTTGAAATGAACTAGTTTGTTCTCACTGAATAGGTTGATTTCCTCCATACAATCCTAATGAAACATATTGATTGCAAATGTTATTCTTAGAATTCATGGTTTTTTAATGTTATTTTGTTATCTTATGTTGCTGTTGTCAGGTGAAGGTATTAGTGATGATTCAGTTCTCTTATGTACACCACCCAGAGTAGTGAATTCTCAGAAATTGGGTGGTATAAAATAAAATAAAATAATGAATAAAAGATAGAAGGGACAAAACAGAGAATGCTTCATGAATAGAACCGTTGTATTTTGGGTGAAAAGATCGGTAGGATGATGAGACTTCAGCTCTGTTAGCCTATGTTAAAACTACAAGTTGATCACATTAACACAATCTGAAGTCCTGTAATTTTGTCTCTAAACATCATCCAAGACACATGGGTTTCACTTAACACATTATTTCTCTGAAATTTTGCTCGCAAACGCTTTACCTGCCTAGATGAAAAGATAAGAACATTCTTTCTGTGGACCGTGCTGCAAGAATGTCATGCTTCTGTCACACACACTAGCCAGAAGACACAACAAACTGAGCATCAGGCTTAGGAAAGAGATTTGTATATGAACACCTGCCAAAACATTTCCAGAAGGACCTTGGTTCCTACACCCTTCCATGCTGGGAGAAACAGAATTTTATTTACAAAACTGTCCCTGGTTGTCTAGTCACAGAATCAAAGTACAGGGGTGCCCCGTTCCGGATTAACCTTCACTTTGGGGATACATCGCTAAACGGAACGGAAAAACCCATTGGAACGCATTAAACTTCGTTTAATGCGTTCCAAATGGGCCCAAAACTCACCATTCTGCGATGTTTCCCCATCCGCGAAAACACTGGGTATTCTGGCGGCCATTTTGGGTGTTCTGGTGGCCATTTTGGGCGTTCCGCAATGCGATAAAACACTGCAAAATCTGCATCGCTATGCGGATTCATCGTTAAACGGTGTGCTCGTTATGCGAGGCACCACTGTATTTAGCATTTGATTCCATTTTATTAAATAATTATGCAGATCAGCATCCAAAGCTACTTGTCATCACATATTTGGCCAGATCACATTTTCATACAGTACCTATACTATTCACTCATGGCCTAAAAGAAAACAACAATAAAACAGACAAAAAAAAAAACATACTAACAATTCCTAACACAGAAGACCCAGGTTCCAACTATTTAGACACAGATGTTGTAGAGAAAATGAGGCTAAAATCAGAATACAGAAGTACCCCCTATCCATGGGACCAGTATCCACAGATGATTCACTTATCTGCTTCATGAAAATATTAAATAACAAAATCCAGAAATGCACATTTATATATATCTTCGGATTAACCTTCACTTTGGGGATACATCGCTAAACGGAACGGAAAAACCCATTGGAACGCATTAAACTTCGTTTAATGCGTTCCAAATGGGCCCAAAACTCACCATTCTGCGATGTTTCCCCATCCGCGAAAACACTGGGTATTCTGGCGGCCATTTTGGGTGTTCTGGTGGCCATTTTGGGCGTTCCGCAATGCGATAAAACACTGCAAAATCTGCATCGCTATGCGGATTCATCGTTAAACGGTGTGCTCGTTATGCGAGGCACCACTGTATTTAGCATTTGATTCCATTTTATTAAATAATTATGCAGATCAGCATCCAAAGCTACTTGTCATCACATATTTGGCCAGATCACATTTTCATACAGTACCTATACTATTCACTCATGGCCTAAAAGAAAACAACAATAAAACAGACAAAAAAAAAAACATACTAACAATTCCTAACACAGAAGACCCAGGTTCCAACTATTTAGACACAGATGTTGTAGAGAAAATGAGGCTAAAATCAGAATACAGAAGTACCCCCTATCCATGGGACCAGTATCCACAGATGATTCACTTATCTGCTTCATGAAAATATTACATAACAAAATCCAGAAATGCACATTTATATGTATTCCCACAGTGTATTTACCAGAACTGGCCACTAGAAGGAGCCAGATCCCAGGTCTTCTGACCCTGCAGCACAAGCTTCTGCGGTTTAGCCCACAGCGCCACCACGTCCCTTTGTATAGCGTTCACTATTTCCACATTTTTTGGCATCCGCAAGGGTGGGGGCTTGGATTACCATAGTCCTGCAGTAGTTTAAACCTTAGCTTGCAATTCAAGTTCTTGAAACCTCAGCGCTCCAGGCTTAGCTCAATATGCCAGGCTCTAAGGCCCCTTCCATGTCCTAAAGCTCTTGCCAGATCTTGACCTACGTAAGTGATGACAGACTAGAAAGTCTGCTCACCTTCTGCAACTTGTCTATCATGTCTTCAATGCTGATGTCTGCTGACTGAAGTACTTTGCTCTCCATCTGCACCAACCAAGTGCACAGCTCCTTATTTTTCTCATTGAACACAATCCAGGCATTGAGTCGATCCTCTATTTCCTGTTTGCGCAGAGAAACCTGTGGAAGAGAACATACATGACACCTGTCTTTTGTGCATCCAAAGAAGCATTGCCGTCATAACTCAGGGGCAAGAATGACTAAATATATCTGTTTCATTCCACAACTAAGGATGTCAAAAGGCTTCACTACAACATGCAGAATGCTGAAGGAATTAATTCCTATTGCTTAGAAAACGAAAGGTTTTCTTTTGGGAGTTAAAAAATGCAACCAGACTTATTAGGTTCAATATCTTTGAGTGTAAAGGTAGACTGGAAAATACATTATCTCAATTGGCACTGTTGTATTAGCAGACATAATTGTGTACTAGGAGCTACAACAAATGCTATTTTTTACGTATACAGAAAATACTGGACGTTGCATAACATGAAACACAAGCATAGGACTTCAGGTCCTCCTGTGATGCAGCTGCAAGAGGGAGAACGGAAGCTTTCACTTCTTCCAGATAACCAATTGTTGCTATGGATGAACCCAGACAAACAGTGGTTAGAATTAACTATGGTTTAGTAAAAACAAGCCATCTTTAAGCCATGATAAATAATTTTGGATAGCTTCAATAGATCATGGGTAAAAATAGGCACTGTCAGTTGTTTCAATGGATGGTTGAAGGCAGAGGTGAGTTTCTGATCACAGAACTATCCAGGCTGGTTTGAAGGGCTCTTCTGTCCCAGTTTTGAAGAGGAAAAATCACAAGAAATTACCTTTAAACAGCAAGAACCCAGAGAACACATTACACAGGCCACCTGGTCACAGTGTCTTTGTTATGTGACATTTTGATTGATTTGATATTAATGATTTTTATATACAAAAATTAGCACGTGCACATTTGATCCACATTACTGCCCCTCAGTGGAAGGAGAGATCCTGAAGCTGAGGCTCCAATACTTTGGTCATCTCATGAGAAGAGAAGACTCCTTGGAAAAGACCCTGATGTTGGGAAAGTGTGAAGGCAAGAGGAGAAGGGAGACGACAGAGGACGAGATGGTTGGACAGTGTCATCGAAGCGACCAACATGAATTTGACCCAAATCCGGGAGGCAGTGGAAGACAGGAGGGCCTGGCCTGCTCTGGTCCATGGGGTCACGAAGAATCGGACACAACTTAACGACTGAACAACAACAACACTGTCCCCTCCCCTATCTTTTGTGCATATGACTTTTAAGCATAAGTCGCCATCCTGTCTTCCTAGGGAGGATGTAACCTATAACTATAGCCCTTCTCCATGCTCATATGTATTCCTCCACAGCCTGATGGTGATAAGAACCCTGTCTCTGCGTTAAATCCCTGACCTCATATTGGCCCCTGAATGAGTCTGGCTCTGGCGGTCTTCCTATCTCTTCCAGCAGAAGCATCTGTCCTGGTAATTCGGTGACAGCTGCCCTATCTTGCTTTTTTTAAATGCTTATAGTGGCTCGGGCTTTTGCATCAATTGTTTTCAAACAATACGCCTCTGTTGGACACGCCAGCTTAGGCTTACCTCTCAGAAAGTAAGTGGGACATGCTAATTGCCCGTTTTTCTGACTAAAAACATGTTGTGGCTACCTATTTTTCAAACTTAACCGTTTTAGTTTCAAACTTTTCCTTGTTTGAAGGCTCCTTAATTTTTCAGAGAAACTCACCAATCACAAGTTAAGATTTCTGATAAAATGTGAGGGTAAGATTTAGGTTCCAACCTCTGTGTTTGTACTAATTATTTGGCCTCGGGGGAAACAAGCTTCGGATATATATAAATTTTTAAAGCCCCAACTACAATTTCCAGAATCCAACTGTCAGTATGAAAACAGGTGAGGCAGGTTGGTATATTCTGGTATTTACAGCCAGCCCCTACCCCCCCCCCAATACATTTACAAGATCTGGTAGATCATTATACTGTACCAGGTATCGATCCTCCATTTATTCAGGGGGATTTAGATTTAAGGTAGAGCCATGAACACAATTATGCCTGATAAATTGTACTATTAGACTGGCATAGATTAAGAATAGCACAGAGTTTCTGACAAAAAGATGCAGTGAAGTAAAGAAGGCCAAGGGTCACAATTGGTACAGACAAGCCAACAAAGGTAAGGAATGTAGCTACAGTGGTGCCTTGCCTTACGAACTTAATCTGTCCCAGAAAATGCTCATAAGTTGAAGCACCATTTCCCATTGAAATGCATGGGAACGGGATTAATCCGTTCCAGCATTTCAAAAATCATCATCATCATCATCATAAACAGAGCAAGTCCCACACTAGGACTGCAAAATATATATAAAAAAATAAAAAAATCCAAAAATAAACATTGGAGCAAGTCCCACTTTGGGAGCCTCTGGATCTTGTAGGGGTGCGTGTCCAGGTGGATTTGAATATTTTTATTTTTCAAAAATTACTGTGGCTGATGATGTCATGAGCCTGATGTGGCACAGCTGTGCAAACAGGACTTCAGCTACTATATTTCCCTGCATGTTAAAATATTAAAATATTATTTTCTTTACATAACTAAAAAGGTTCCTGGCAAATGGCTACCAAACAAACTTTATGAGGATTTTTTTAAAAAGGAAAACAAATAACATATACTCCTGACATGTATTCCGTGAAGGATGATGCCTCAATTCAAAGAGAACAGATCACCTCCATCTAGAGTAAGTACGTTGCATGGAATAACTGTGGCCTTGATGCGGATGCATGGCACCAGTTATACTGAAAAATGTATCAGGAGAAGCCCTGTAATGAATGTCCTGTAATACTTAGGGATATGCATTTCATCCCACATCTATTCCTTCTTTCTGCTGCAGGAACCATGCATTTAAAGCAAAAGACAGGACTGAGTAGCTTCCACTCAACGCAAGGCACACTCCCAATGCACTATACTGCAAATTTAGGTTAGGCCATAATGAAATGTGGGCATGAGAGCCTGGACTAAAGACTATACAAGAAAGAGGAGGATAGCAATCTGTGAAAATTTGTAATCAGACTCTGAAGGTCAGAGGACAAAAGCCTTCTTTCTTGCAGTTTCAGCTTTTCAAAAAGCTTGTGATGCACAGTGACTGAGAAACATACATCTCTAGAATGTGCGAGATCACCCCTTGTGAATGTGGTTTCTGCCATGCTGGTCACAGGTAAGGTAGTTCCTTCTCAGCCTCAGCCCTCCGGTGCGCATTGTGGGGATATTAATAGAATGTTCTAAGGTGGTTGTGGGCAAAGGAGGGCCAGACTGAAGCATAATAATTGTTTCCCATTAAGTCAATTCTGTAGAGAGTACTCAGAGGTAATTTACCACTCCCTTCTCCTGGGTGCGCCCTGGGAATGTCCAAGGTCACACACGTTGGCTCTTCCCGCAGGAGACCCGGCAGGGGAATTGAACTTCCAACCTCTGGCTCTGCAGCCAGAGACCTAACCCGCTGAGCTATCCGGCCAGCTCTACCCAAGACTGCAACCTTTGTAGAGTGCTGCCCAGTAGAGCCAAACGTGAGGAATACCAGCAGCTACGGTGAAACAACACCTGGAGTAGAATGCATTTGAACTTACGAGTGCGACAGATACATGCTAAGCACTGTCATCATCATCATCATTACCACCACAACCCATGGCTTGGACTAAAGCAGTATTTTCCTATAAAAGATGTGTCTTTTTATTTCCATCTCCAGGAGCTTAGGTCATCAACCCCCATCTAGCACATCCAGATATTTTGGATTACAACTCTCATCGTAGCGATACTAAGCTGACTGTAATTGAATGGGCTGGGTGCGGGCGGCTGGCCCACATATTCTCTTCTTCACAACACAGGCACTAATATCAGTAACAGTGCCACCTGGGTCACATTTGAATGATCTTTTCAACCAGTAACATATATGTATTTATTTAGCATAGTTCTACCCCGCCTTTCTCTTTAAAAAGGATCCAAAGATCATTAAAAGTCAGTATTTAAAGGTAACACAAGTGTGTATACAAATACTAAAAAAAAAAAAAAACACCAAACAAATGTCAGTCTAAGATATGGTAAACAAAAGCAATATTACAAATACAAATTCAAAGCAGCAGGGTGGATTTAAAAAATCCCACTCAGGCAGCCATTCATTGAGGGAAAGCTTGTCTGAAGAGACAGGTCTTTGCCTGCTTGTCGAAGGACAACAAAGATCGAGCCAGGCTGGCATCCAGTGGGAGGGAGTTCCAGAGTCTGGGAGCAGCCATAGGGAAGGCCCTCTTCTGTGTCCCCACCAAATGGGAACATCATCCATGCAGCACAGTCTTATTCATATCTGTTCGTATGTCACTGTGAGTTCAGCAGGACTGATTGCCAGCTAGGAATGTGGAAGACCGTGTAAGCTTATGGAGCAATAAGGCCCATTATATGCAAGATTTGTGTGAACTTATTTTAAAAAAAGGATTTTTCTGTACCAATTTAATGCGTAAGTTAATTTATTTATGTTAAGATTTTCTGGCACAGTTTTCAGGGGATTTATGGGGGAAAATATAAAAATAAAACCACTCATTAAAAACACAAATATATTTAATAGTCTTGGGGGGGGGAGGAAGGGATCTTTGCCAACCACCACGTAAATGGCACTGCTGCTTCCAAGAGGGTCTTTTCTGGAGAGGAAATTTCAGAAAGGAGATTCAGGTCATTGAAAGGACTCTCCTTCTGGCCACAACCCATTTTTTTGTTCTAGAGCCTTGGAAATAAAAAAGATATGATTCTTTGAATCCCCCCCAGTCAGGATGGGCATGGCCAGGATGACTGGGTGTGCTAGTTAGGAGCTGTGATCCAAAAAAAGGATTCCCCCACCCGCCCCAAGCTTTGGCATTCCACCCGATGGGCAAACCTGGAGGAAAGCCTCGGAAAAGAACTTCAGTAGGACTGCTGGTCTGCAGCGGCAGAGAAGTGTGTAGCAAGACACACCCAATCACAAGGTGCTGCTCACACAATGGCCGTCAAGCTCAGCCAAAAGCTACAAGTGGCTTTAGAGGCACATTGGTAGGAATGCAAGCAGAAAGTGTGACATGTTTATGACCCCGGCCTGGAGTGCATGCACAGGCTAATCTCTCTCGCTCTGCAATTAAATTTGAAAAGCTCAGAGGCCTTTGAAAATGGAGAGGGGCTGTCACCTGAGAACCCTGCAGACACCTCCCCCCCAAACCTCTACAGAATTATTCCTCCTTCCACTCCAGGCCATTTCCAAGCCTACACACACAGTTACATTTTGAACAAAGCCTGGAACTGTCCTTTCCCCCCCCCCCTTTTGTTTTGTTCCAAGGCATAGTCTTTTGTGTTGCCAGTAAAAAGTTTTCAGACCATCTGGAGAATTTGGGGGGGGAACCCAAAACAAAACCAAGGAAGGAAGGAAGGAAGGAAGGAAGGAAGGAAGGAAGGAAGGAAGTACTCTGGACTCTGACTGTGTATCTGACCCTGAACTTTGACTTTGGACTGCACTCTGTAAGTTTGTTTCGGAACTCTGGTTTGCATTCTTGGTATCTCTGACCTTGGACTGGTTTGTCGGACTTTGGCTATTGTAACCCCCGGGAACGTGACAGATTGCTTCCACCCCCATACTTTTCCCAACATGGAGGGAAAAGCAAACGAAGACTCAGGACCGTTGAATGCTGTGCTTGCTCAGGTGCAATTCTTAACTCAGGCAGTCGGCCAGCTCCAACAACAACAAACTGTTGCCGCTGCTCAAGCGAACTGCCCTGTCCTCCCTCCTGAAAAATTTGAAGGCAATGTGGAGGAGTTTCCAGCATTCTTGGCACAAAGCAAGCTGTACATTGAGCTGCGCGCCAGAGACTTTCCCACAGACAAAACCAAGGTATGCTTTATAATCAGCTTACTCAAGGGGAAGGAAGAAAAAGAGGCACTATGGAAGAAAGAAAGAAAGAAAGAAAGAAAGAAAGAAAGAAAGAAAGAAAGAAAGAAAGAAAGAAAGAAAGAAAGAAAAAGGAAAGGAATGAAGGAAGGAAGGAAGGAAGGAAAAGACTCCCAAATAGCACCCCATTAAAGCCCAGAAGCTCTCTCTCTCTCTCTCTCTCTCCAAGCACCCACCACCAGGTAGCATCTCCTTCTGCTAAAGCCGGACTGTGGACAGCTGCCGGTCTTTGTAAGCCACTTACTCGGAGGCAGAGTTCTTCCCACTGTGTGTGTAAGTGCTGGACTTGTTCTTTCAACACCATCACATCTTCTGCGAGGAGGTAGCGGGCGAGATCGGCTTTCCGGGTGCCAAGCTCTTTGGCCGTTTGGTTCCAGCTGGCAAGCGTCTTCTCCAGCTCCTGCATTGGAAACACCAAGGGGGGTTGGATGAAAACAGCAACTCTTTCAGACTAGATTCCTGGGATGTGTGGGTGAGTGAGTGAGAGAGAGAGAGCCAGCGCATGTGTGTATTTTTCTCCTCCAAATCTTTGGGTTAATCCTATGATTGGCCTGGAAGAGGAGGAGAGAGGAAAGAAAGGGGGAGGAAAGAAATCTGCATATCGGAGAAAGGCCCTGCCTCCACCCAGGGGCCCAGAGGCTTTGGTTTAGCAGCAGCTGTTTGGCTTCTCCATGTCTTGAAAAGAATGCGGGGAGGGGGACACAGAAGGTTTCCCAAGCTTTTAACAACAGAAATTTTCTATGACACTTCCAGGTTTTAAAAAATGCCTGGTGTCACCCTGTTTTCTGCAAAACGTTGGCTAGGGTTCAGGACACTGTGTGCAACTGAACAAGACTGGATTTCAGGGAGCCTAGAAGCTAAAACGTGCAAGCCTCTGGGGATTTATTGGAAAAGTTACTTCTCTTAGGATTTAATGGGGCTTTGTGAGCTCTGAGCATTTGAACATTAAAAAAACTATATAAAAAAACCACCGCAAACCAGAACAAAAACTTTAGAGCCGGGGGGGTGTTTGAAGAGTTGGTGGGGTTTTCAAAAGTATAATATCTGTAATTTAAAAATATGGGCCGGTCGAACGATCAGCCATTCCAGGAGACGCCTGGTGTTGCAACAGGGAGATGGGAAAAAATGCAGGGTAATTACTGAAAATGTTGTGGAACTTGCTTTTTAACAGAACTGTGTTTCACTGGTATTTATGTGGCTGGTTTGCTGTATGACTGACTTTGCCTAGAAACTGAAGAATCCTGGCCCAATGCAAGGGACTGGCAGATGCAATCCAAAGACAAAAAGGGGGGGGGGACCCACACTTAACTGTGATGGTCAATTAGGAAAAAAAGGTACTATTGTACTGCTTTGTTGGGATGCTACTTTCTGGTTTATTTTCTTCTTTACAGAATGACAACTCACAATAAATGTGGGGTAAGGAGAGAGCAAGGAACTGCCTATACATTTCAAGTACATAGCCATAATTTAAAAATTTTAGGCTAGTTTCAGGGAAGGGAGAGAGCAAGGAACTGCCTATACATTTCAGGTACATAGCCAGAATTTAAAAATTTCAGGCTAGTTTCAGGGAAGGTTTTATGATATGTGGTGGACTTGTAGAGCAGCGAAGCAATTTTGGATAGGTGTGCATGCTTTGTTACAAAAAATATTGCTTTGTAAGGTTCCACTAACCCCAGAACTGTTTCTATCGAGTATTATACCAGACAATATAGATAAGACAAAGAAATAGTTATATACATAGTCACTGCAGCCAGAATGCTTTATGCCAAGAATTGGAAGAAATCGGTGATACAAGAGGAACTTATTGAGAAGATACGGGAAGTGGCAGAAATGGATATTTTATCAAAAGTGCTGAAAGACTGTCCAATATAAAAGGCAACTGAACGATAGGATTTATTATATAAATGGCTCGAATCACCAGATAGTACTTGAATAATATACCGTAGATTAAAACTAGGATGTAAATGTAAGTTATAACCTGAAGGGCAATCATATACTGTAGTAGAAAAGCAGAAAGTCGCGTTGATATGGCAATATGAATAGATTGGGTGGCAGTCCATTTCATGTTCTCCTCCCCCTACTTTCCCCGTCTCATATCCCTCCCTTACCTTCTGTATCCCCTACCTTATCCTAAATTGTTAATTAAAAAAAAAGAATTTCTGGCTAGTAACCCTTTGCTGATTTACACTTGCATAAGTGAAGTGGGGTAAATTGTCACTAATTAATGGGTTGCTGGTTGCATTCCTGGGTGTTTGCTCAACTCAGAATGCTGTGACTTACAACGCCATTGTACAGTGGTGTCTCGCTTGACGACGTTAATTTGTTCCAGCAAAATCGCTGTAGAGCGAAACGTCGTAAAGCGAAATAAAAAAGCCCATTGAAATGCATTGAAAACCATTCAATGCGTTCCAATGGGCTGAATACCTGCTCGCCCAGCGAAGATCCTCCATACGGTGGCCATTTTCGGGTGCCTGTCTTGTGAAAAATGCCTCCTAAAAAAAGCGGGGAGCCATTTTGAGCAGCCTTCAGCCATTTTGAAAACCCGACGATCAGCTGTTTTGATCGTCGTAATGCAAAGAATCGGTTCCCGAAGCAGGAAACCAATTGTCGCAATGCAAAAAAACCCCATTAAAACATCATTTTGCAATCGCAATTGCGATCGCAAAAACATCGTTGTGAAGCAGATTCGTCATTATATGGGGTAATCGTTAAGCGGGTCACGACTGTATTTGTAAAAGTATGAAGCAGCAATTGGATTCTGTCTTCTGTGTTTTTTTTCTGGAAGCTGTCAAGAATCTTCTCTGTAAGTGGCCACAGCACTGCAGTTAACACGGACTGCCAGAAAGGCAAGTGGGGACTACATCAAGTCAAACCTGAACTCAGGAAGAGACAAGACTTGCTGGGAAAGAGGATAGTGCTAGGAGCAGGAAAAGAGGAAGGCCGAACATGCAATGGATAGACTCAATAATGGCGTTGCATTTGCAAGACCTGAGCAGGCCTACCATTTTGGAATTTCATCATTCACAGGGTTGCCATATGTTGGATGTGACTTACAGTAAATGCACATAACAATAACTCAAAGAAATCATCATAATCTTCAAATATAAAATTTCCAAAAACATGACAGATAGAAGACTTTTAGGACACATCTATATTTATTTATTCCAGCCTGAAACAGGGAAGTTTTATGTTGGTTCCAAAACCGTAGCATCCTGGATACACCTTTATCTTTTTTTCCCCCTAAGGTCATGGGGATTTGATTCCCCACTAAATAAATAGTAGGCAATATTACACCATTTATTTTCAAACATTTTTTAAACCTTGTGTACCACCAAGTATTATTCAGTTAATTTTATTTATTTCTGCCGTCTGCCTACCAAGAATTATGTGAAGCAAGAGACTGAGCAGGGTTACAATTGGCTTTTATATTTTTAGTTGGCCTTTTACGGTTCCACAATTGCCGGACAGCTGGTGATTCTCTGTATAAGAATGAGAGGTGTAATCTGACACCAGCTACATCTTCCAGTGTCTAATTCATTCAGTCTGCGAGAATCTATCTTGCAGAACCCATGGCTGCAAGAATGGGCCCAACTTTTCTGTGCCCCGCTACGCTCCACACCCTTTTTGTACCCTTTTTATACATTTTATCCTGATGAAGATTATCTGGAGAACCTGCTTATCTTCATGGCATTCTGGTGGTTCCTAACAAAGGAATCCACCTCCTGAGAAACCTATATGTGGGACAGGAAGTAACAGTTAGAATTGGATATGGAACAACGGATTGGTTCAAAATTGGGAAAGGAGTACGACAAGGCTGTATATATTGTCTCCCTGCTTATTTTATATGCAGATTACATCACGCGAAAGCCTGGACTGGAGGAATCGCAAGCCGGAATTAAGATTGCCGGAAGAAATATCAACAACCTGTGATATGCAGATGATACCACTCTGATGGCAGAAAGTGAGGAGGAATTAAAGAACCTCTTAATGAGGGTGAAAGAGAACACAAAAAATGGTCTGAAGCTCAACGTCAAAAAAACTAAGATCATGGTCACTGGTCCCACCACCTACTGGCAAATCGAAGGGCAAGATATGGAGGCAGTGACAGATTTTACCTTCTTGGGCTCCATGATCACTGCAGATGGAGACAGCACCCATGAAATTAAAAGACGCCTGCTTCTTGGGAGGAAAGCAATGACAAACCTAGATAGCTTCTTAAAAAGCAGAGACATGATCTTGCTGACAAAGGTCCGCATAGTCAAAGATATGGTTTTTCCAGTAGTGATGTATGGAATTGAGAGCTGGACCATAAAGAAAGCTGACCGCCGAAGAATTGATGCTTTTGAATTGTGGAGCCGGAGGAGACTCTTGAGAGTCCCTTGGACTGCAAAGAGAACAAACCTATCCATTTTGAAGGAAATCAACCCTGAGTGTTCACTGGAAGGACAGATCCTGAAGCTGAGGCTCCACTACTTTGACCATCTCATGAGAAGACTCCCTGGAAAAGACTCTGATGTTGGGAAAGTGTGAAGGCAAGAGGAGAAGGGGATGACAGAGGACAAGATGACTGGACAGTGTCATCGAAGCTACCAACATGAATCTGACCAAACTCCAGGAGGCAGTGGAAGACAGGAGGGCCTGGCGTGCTCTGGTCCATGGGGTCACGAAGAGTTGGACACGACTTAATGACTAAAAAACAAGAGCCAAATAAGTATGCTGCACCCCCCCCCACACACACAACAAACCAAAATCAGCCAGTGAACAGTCTGATGGCTCCTGTAAAATGAACAAGTTTTATTTGGGATATACCTCTGTAGAGATGCAAAATCTTGCCTTCCCGGGGCAAAAGGAATAATCCATCAGTCTGAAAAGCTAAGGTAGGGAAATAATTGGCAATTCAGCATTTCATTACCTCGACATCTTCTTTGGATGCTTGCAGCATGTCATGCATTATTGGAAGAGGATCCTTTATTTTTGCCTTGAGCTCTTGCAGTGCACCGCTCAGCTCTTCCACACACTTTTTACAGGATTCCCAAGTCTGTGATTTCAGATTTAAAGAGCTGTATTAATAATAGCTGAAAACATTGCTTAAAAGCATAAGCAAGGCAGATATCAGTTAAGCGTAGAAAAAAACCTGCTGTCTTCTTCACCACTAGGGTCGCTATGTGTTCTACTTTGCAGGCAACAGTCCTCTATTTTAAAAAAGTCCTCCGTATGAATAACTGCCTGATAGAAGACTGAATTTAAAGAGAAAGAACTTTAAGAAGGGGATGTAGTGCATTTTCAGCTTGCTCAATATTTAGCAATTGGAGGGCATACCCACCAGGAAAGCGACAAACAAGGATTAGCTTGCTGTAACCTTCCTAAGAACTGTCAGATGTATTACATTATTATTTAAATTGCAAATATTCTTTCTTTGGGGCACAGTGGTTAGACTACAGTAGTGCAGTCAAGACTCTCTTTGCATCCTGAGTTTAATCCTGACCACCTCAGGGCTTAGGTAGATGGCCCAAGTTCACTCAGTCTTTCATCCTTCCAAAGTTGGGAAAATTGAGTACCCACCCACCTTGCAGTTGGGGGGTGGGTGAGAGGGCACTATGGGGCAGTATTTAAGCAGCATGCTTTTGCTTTGCTTTCTTTCCACATGGGCATTTTTACCTAAAAAGTAGGAACAAAACGGTATTTCTAAACACTCACTGCCTGGCTGGGGATCCCCTATAAGAACCCTAAAACATCCCCGTTTTCAAACCAATTTTCTCCAAATTCCAGCAGCCGATATTTTGGCCTTTGAGGAATTTCAAGAGCCAGCTAGGCAGCTAGAACAAGGGAGGTTCGGAATAAAAATAAAACAATTTTTGGTTAGCCAGGACTATACCATCTGCCACTTCAAACCATCTTCTTCGTTACCTCTGAGTTGAGGTGGGCAAGTGGCTGCAGAAGTGTTTCGTGGTTCAGCACCCTTGAAGGTTTGCTCCCCATCTGGGGGCAGCACTCCGGCTTCCCTCCTCCCTGCCTCTTGAGCGGGCATCCACCAGAGGGGGCAGAGCGCCCAACCACAGTTTGTGCCCATCTCTACCTCTGAGTCTCAACCCTAATCCCCACAATATCTAGGGATAGGGTTGTGGCAGAATCAATTTCCCCCAACAACAATGGCTGAAATCCTGTTATTTAGCACACTGTCACACTAGAGCAGGCCCGCTGAATCAGTGGGGATTTTGTGTATAAACTTTTATGTACGTTCCGATCCATTGATTCAAATAAGCCCACTTTAACTGGGACCTACTGTGCCTAAAGTAAGTCATGACTAGAGTAGGTCTGTTTGAATTCAGAGAACCTATAGAGGAGTTGACACACCAAATCCCCTACTTTAGTGCAATTCACTAGGCTAAGTAAAAGGATTTTGGCAATTGCTGGGCAACTTATTGCAATATGAAGTATTGTCGAACGGTTTGGTCCTGAAAGGCCAAGAAAGCTCCTGATGGAGATCTGGTCACCACAACTGTTTGCATTTTTTGAAATTTCATTTGTGGTAATCAGGACTGTCATGATAAACACTTGCACTTGAACATTTACCACTATACCACTTCTCATAAGGCTAGTTGTGCACCTATGAATGTACAGAACATCCAACTCTCTTGCATTTCAGGAAGAGTCAAAGGTAAGGTGGAATGATAAGAATAACTCTCACCAGGGTTTCTTCCCACTAAAGACTTAATCATATAATATAAAGAGAGATTAGCACAAAACCTGTAAAAATTGCTTGGGCATTTCTGATTAAGAAAGACTCCTTTTATAAAATGGTGCTCAAATCTGGCTTCCAATTATTTAAAATCTGCAGATTTCAAACATTATATATGCTTATTTATTTACATTTTGATCCTCACACTTTCTCTAGAGACTTCAAGACAACAGGCCAGGCCCAAGATGAAATAACTCATTGAGAATCTGATGGCTGAAACCAGGATTTGACACCAGATCTCCCCAGACTAATTTCTATGTTCATTTCATGTTAGGGCTTGCTCTTTTCTTGCAACTTTTAATTTTTCCTAGCTTTATTTTCTTTTTCAGTGAGTCCTATTCCATTATATGCCCATAACGGAAACACTAGAACATAGTTTAGCATTATGTCTGAACGAACTCCAAGCAATAAATGATTTTTACACTGTAGAATTGGGGCTGATACTAAGAGAAGAGCAATTCATGAGGTTCTATGGATAATAGACTCAGATCTTCAAATATATATCCATTCCATTAAAATGTAATATGGAGAGATGCATCACAGTAAGGCTACAAAAGAAGGTTGGGGAGAGCTCAACATGTCTTGCACGTTGTTTTGGTTTTAAACTGTGCAAGATTTTGAGTTTTAAATTGTTCAGGTTTGAGATTTTCATTTGCATGCTGTTTCTCCATTCAAAGATTGTGTGCACATTAAGAAGCAGGAAACGTTACTGCTTACAACTATAAATTTCATGATGTCCAAACAGTATGGCCAGCCAGTATCCCTGCTGGCAAGGATATTTGGGGAATTGTAGTCCAAAGGGTGGGTTAAACCGCAGAAGCCTCTGTGCTGCAAGGTTGGAAGACTAGCAGTTGTAAGATCGAATCCACGTGACAGAGTGAGCTCCTGTCGCTTGTCCCAGCTCCTGCCAACCTAGCAGTTCGAAATCATGTAAAAATGCGAATAGATAAATAGGTACCACCACGGTGGGAAGGTAAGGGCGTTCCATGTCTAGTCATGCTGGCCATGTGACCACGGAAACTGTCTACGGACAAATGCTGGTTCTACGGCTTGGAGGCGAGGATGAGCACTGCCCCCTAGAGTTGGACACAACTGGACTAAATGTCAAGGCAAACCTTTACCTTAGTACAAAAAAAAAGTAATGGTTTTCATCTGGGATCTTCAAATACAGAAGCAAACCTTCCAGTCAAACGTACATGTGAAAAACATCTTAGAACTGCAGCACTAGAGGGGACCCCCCCCTCACACACAAATCACATATCAACAAGTAATTTGATTCTATAAACAGAGCATTCCTGTTTAGAGATGGGATATTCATAGCTATCTCTTGGGGGGGGGTGGAGATTACTATGAATACTGCCACCCCAAGTGACTGCACCCGTTTTACCCTCAACCCCCCAGAACCGGGCCATCCACTTACCGCTTGTGCCTCCCTCCACTGTGACTACTCAGCGACTGAGCAGGCAAGACCTGTTATCCTGCTTCCTCTCCAGAGTGGTCAGCAGTGCAAAGAGGCAGGGAAGCCCCAACTGGGCTACTTCCTCAATGGGCACAATGCGGATGAGGATGGCCGTGTGTGCCATGCGGCACGCAGTAAGTGAATCGCCCGGTTCTGGAGGGGAGAGTCAAATGGCCCAGCTACCGGTGGTGGCGATCTTCATATTTGTCTGCCCAGGGAAATAGATACGAATATTCCATCTCTACTCCTATTTCAGTAAGAAAATTCCCTACTTAGTTCAATAAACAAACCACAAAACGTTCACTTACAAACATTAATAAATGTCCTGTCAGTAATTTAGTAGGCCCAGTAACAATTTTTCATTAAACTGATAAAAAACACTTACTAGAATGTATACATTAAAGAAACATAAACTATTGAGATAAATATATGTGAAACTTAACTAAGGGGACTGGATTTGTTAGGGGACTGGATTTGTTCCTGTACAAAAATCAAATTTTTGTTTGAAAGATTTGAATACTTTGATGTCAAGTAGCATTTAAATTTTCTGGATACCTGCTTTTTACACACACACACGCATGCACACACACACACAAACACGTAGGAACAAGGTTTCTAACCTTGAAATCATGACTCAGATTTCTGACTTGGTGCAAGCTATTCTTATCCTGGTTCTTCATGACAACGATGAAGATATTTGTATCTGTGAGGAATTTTGTGAGGTCCTGCAAGGAGGCTGTGAATTTCTCCCACAGCTTTACGAGGCCATCGATCTCGCTCTTTCTCTTCTGAGCCCTGCGGATGATGCTTTGCCACTGCTCTTTCAGCCTGGTGAGTTTGGAGATAAACTCAGCCCTAAAAGAGTGAAAAAAAACCCAGATACATTAGTATAGTAGCTAATGGGGCCACATTTATCACTGGGCAGAGGGAGAATGATCTCAGGTGTTTCAAAAGTCAGCCAATCGTTAAGCCTTTTCATACCTCATTGTTGTTGTGGGTTCACGGCAAGCCACGAGGGAGAGGTATTTGTGGGTCAATCACCCTTGTTATTCCCAACTCAGGGTGTAACTCGTACATAGCAAGAAAATTGCAAATGGACACTCTGTGAAGTTGCACCTGGGAAGTCGGGTTTCCCTGGGTAAATCTGCATGAACTGGCCACACAGGGAAACAGGAGAAAACTGACAAACAGCCTTATTTGCAGCTTGTTTATATAGCTCTCCTGCAGCACTTGTGATTTTCAGGAGACATGGCTACAGGAGAACTAAATGATGATTATTCAGAGATATAAGAGACAGTCTTTGACTGGTACTATATAACAGATACAAGTTATATACAAAAACCTAAGTATCAGTTAAATACCAGTGTAATATGTATACTCTTCCTAATATTGTCATTTTCTGCAGCTCTGATGGTGTTATTTCAGAGATTCATTCATTCATTCATTCATTCATTCATTCATTCATTCATTCATTCATTCATTTATTTATTTATTTAATATCCCACCTATCTAGTCGATAGACCACTCTAGGCAGCTTACACTCTGCAGCTGATTATATTTTATACTATTCTGCAGTATTGTTCTCAATGCCCTGAAGATGATGGGGACCACTGAAATGTGTTTCATCCACGAGTGAGTTATTTCTATTGCCAGATCTCTGTCTTTTGTTATTTCTTCCACTTTATCTTCCACTCAGGTATCCCCAAAAATTGTGATGTCAATTATCCAGACATTTCTAAGTTCTGTTACTGTTATGACGAGTATATTAACGCTCAAGGCTGTTTTCTTACAACTTCTCTACCTGATATTCCCACGGAGGCTTGGATGATGGCTTATTCAGAGATATAAGAGACAGTCTTTGACTGGTACTATATAACAGATACAAGTTATATACAAAAAACTAAGTATCCGTTAAATACCAGTGTAATATGTATACTCTTCCTAATATTGTCATTTTCTGCAGCTTTGATGGTGTTATTTCAGAGATCTGCAGCTGATTATATTTTATACAATTCTGCAGTATTGTTCTCAATGCCCTGAAGATGATGGGGACCACTGAAATGTGTTTCATCCACGAGTGAGTTATTTCTATTGCCAGATCTCTGTCTTTTGTTATTTCTTCCACTTTATCTTCCACTCAGGTATCCCCAAAAATTGTGATGTCAATTATCCAGACATTTCTAAGTTCTGTTACTGTTATGTCGAATATATTAACGCTCAAGGCTGTTTTCTTACAACTTCTCTACCTGATATTCCCACGGAGGCTTGGATGATGGCAGATTATATATACAGTGGTGCCCCGCATAGCGAGGTTAATCCATTCCGGATTAACCTTCGCTATGACGAAACATTGCTAAACAGGACGGAAAAAGCCATTGGAGCACATTAAACTTAGTTTAATGCGTTCCAATGGCTTCTTTACTCACCATTATGCGATATTTCCTCATTGCGACGCCATTTTCGCGCCCTCGGTAAGCGAGGGCAGGGCGCGAAAATGGTTGTGGCGGCCATTTTAGGTCACGTGGTGGCCATTTTAGAACTGCCGAACAGCTGATTGTCGGGCGTCGCAATGCAAAGATCGGTAAGTGAAACGCTTACCGGGCTTCACAATGCGATTTTCGCCCATTGGGGCCATTGGTAAGCGATCGCATTAGCGATCCCAAAAAACGGATCGCTATGCGATTTCATCGTTATCCGGTGCGCTCGTTAAGCGAGGCACCACTGTATATATATTTACATAATGACCAGTGTATTGATTTTGCAACTCTATTGTGTCTAGCATTGTAATGTGTCTGTGCATTGTTATTGTGGTGCTGGTGGTTGTTTGGCTGCTGCAAGGACTGCTAGAACAACTGTGTCCAATTACATAATATACGGAAGAATTACAAGCATCATCTGGATCCAGTCATCCCCCATCTAGTGTCTTCCACATATATGAGCCCAAACCAGCACTCACCCAACCATATCCAGTCAAGTGCATTCATGTTGGCTAGAGATGCTGAGAGTTACATTCCTACATGTCTGGAAAGCCCCCAGGTGGGAGAAGACTATTCTAATGAACACAGGCATGCCCATGACAAGATCAAACAACTTTTATGTCAGAATCATGTGCATATGTACTCAAAAGTAAGTCCCATAAAGTTCAAAGCATCTTACAGGTATATATGTATAGCAAGAGTAGGACACCTCAGCTCCTGGCACTGAATCCTCTCTCTCAAGATTCCAATCCTGTCTTCTCCCTGCCCAACAACTCCATCATTTTGTGGTTTCCTAGATTTTGCACTCACTCTTTCTCATTCTAAAAAGCTGAAAATGGCTCGTCATAAGGTTTAGTTCCTGAAAGTTAAGACCTTTAAATTAAAGTTAGCCAGCACTCTTTGGCTGGCTAAAAGAGAGGTCCCACTCTTTTGCCTTTTGGCCTCACATGCCCAACGAGAAAATGTCCCCTCTCAAGAGCCTTTCCTAAATTGAATTCAGTGTTCAGGCTGAAAAAAAATATGTTCTCCACCCTTGAAGTTTGGGGCTCCATTCTGCCTCAATTAGATTTTATTATCCAGCTCGAGGACACACTCTTCCTTTACAACCCTGCACCTCAGTCCCTTAAAAATGACCATCTGGACTGAAACTTGGACGGTGCCTCCACCAATCTGCCTCCACTTCAGGAGACACAAGGAACTGAAATTACCTGTTTCCTGCCTCCCCTTCTTCCGCCATGTGCAAGGCTTTAGACACAATGGCATTAAAAACCTGCTGATTGACAGAAATCTCTGCTTGCAATATCTGTAAACATTAAACGAAAAAAATTATTATCATTATACGGCATTCATTGGGAAAGACGGAAAGCACAGCTTAAATAGGATATTTTAAATGACCAAATTTGGCATAGACCCCTTTCAAAGTCCTTAATCTGCCCAGTCTCCTCATTTGGATCCGAGCCAAAGCAATCAGAAACATTACCTCATATTCTCTCTGCTGTTCCTGTAGCTCTTCTAGTGTACCCGCCACATTCTCCTTTAAAGCTTCTTTTGTCCTTTCTAGGAACTGTACCCAGGTTTGGCATCGCTGGCAGAATGTCCTGTCATCTGACTTAATGTCCTGCAGTTCACTGTAGAAACAAGGAAGGAAGGAAATGCTATTATATGGCTTTAACAACAACAACAACAACAACAACAGCAACCAGTAGACTAGCTCTAAACAACAACAACAACAACAACAAACAGTAGACTGGCTCCCTACATAGTTATCTTTACGAGCAGATGTGCTGAAATCAACAACCAGAATCCTATTGGGATTTTACTCCAGAATAACTGGAACTGCCTAAGTTGCAGTGCCAAAATTCAGGTAATTAACATAGTGTTGCCTGCATGCTGGGTCTTGCACTTGGTCATGTGACTGGCACATAACATAAATTAGCTGCAATTCACTCCCAGGGCTAAAACAATTTCACTTGTTCTGCAGTAAAATCACAGTAAGAGTCTGGCCAGTTAATTCTCATTGATTTAAGTGGCTATAATCAAACTACATTTGGATCCAATGCAGTATTAATATTTTTACTATCTGTAACTCTGCAACCAAAGGCTGAAGGCTAGCTGAAGACTAATTTGTCTTGAAGCTCCAGGTGTATGGTTTCTAGGTGGTTGGAAGGGAACATGCAATGGGAAACAAGAAATGAGAGACTGACTCCAATTTTTAGGAGTTTTAGAAGGTGGCCTCCTTCCAAGGCAAAGACTCATACCTAGGAAGGAAACGTTATTTCATGCCAGAGATAAAGGGTACAATCCTGCTGCAGAACAATGTAGGCACAACTCAACGTTGCATCGGCTGTACCTCCAATAATGTCAAAACGGACGTGCTATCCACAAAGCAATTCTACCGGTGAACTGGACAGCTGGTCGTCCCAGAAGCACAACAAGAGTTTGCCCATTAAATGTTATGTTCAGTGCAGCAAGATGGGGTGATGTCACTAGCTGAAAGGGACATCAGTCATATTCATAGACGACTCTATCAAGGGTTGTTGGTTACAGTGCTATGTAGGGTACTCTGTATTCCCATGTAATATCTCTCTCACTGGTTGATGATGGCACATCTGTGGCTTCCATGCCCTATCCATGCCCTACCTGGTAGGGTACATCTGGCCTTCCAGATGTACTCCTGTGCCTGCTGTAGGACACAGAACACTGGATGGAGTGGATCTCCCATTACCTGGTAGGGTACATCTGGCCTTCCAGATGTACTCCTGTGCCTGCTGTAGGACACAGATGGGATCTCCCACAGGTTAAGGACAGTTCTTGCTATGGTCTTATGGGGTCTATTTTTGTGTGCTTTGTGTCCAAGAGACAATTCCTCAGAACAATTTGATACGAAAGCAACCTGTTTCACAATCTAGGTGGAATGTCTGTGCACAGAATCATGTCCATTCTCTCACTGAAAACATCCCCCATGCTGAGACCCAAGTGCAGGACACTATGAAGACTTTACTAAACACTCCAGGGGAGTTTACAGCCAAAAGACAAGCCTTCTACCAAGAGCGTTGCACGTCATGCATCAGGATCATTAACAGTAAAGCTTGATTTAGGAAGAGAAGGTTACCTGCACTGCTCAAGAAGCATGGCTGTCTTCTGGGACCACTGCCAGTTCAGGCTCTGCAACCTCTTGGCAGTGAAGTCGCTGAGAGGCAACCTGAGGCTGACTTCATTCACACTTTCCATCTCGGGTGACAAAGCTACGAGACCCAGGAACTGGCTCTGAGAAGGACAAAAGCAATGGTGGACAATGCTGGAAATGCCAGGTGCTTTGCATTCTTGGCAAATGTCTCCTATGCTGTGTGTAGGAACCACTGTTCCCTTAAATGAAAGGAGCAAAGCAGGTCTACTGATTTGCCTGCCTAATGTGGACAAAAAGGTTGTTGGCCATGAATTGGTGATTCAACATTGGCTGTCTTCTGCACAATTCATGAATTCGTCATTGATTACTGACACGAGTATCTTCCCACTTCCCCAGCGCAGCAGAAGAAGGGGCTACCTTATCCTCCTCCAAACCCATAATATAGTTATTTAAAATATTTTTCCTTGCCTTTCTCTTTCAAAAGAACCCAACGTGGCTTACATCAGCAAAAGAGAATATTTAAGAGCTGAAGACATTAAGTACACAGTACTCAGCAAAAGAGAATATTTAAGAGCTGAAAACATTAAGTACACAGTACATTAAAAAAAGAATCAAACAAATATCACACTAAAGCAGTAAGCAAAATCAATACTGTACCAAAAACACACACACTCAAAGCAACAAGGGACCACAATCTATTAAAAAAAACTTCTCTCAGATAGGCTGTCACTCAGGAAAAGCCTGCCTGAAGAGAAAAGTGTTTGCCTGCTTCTGGAAGGACAGCAAAGATGGGCTTAGGCTGACCTCCTGTGGGAGGGAGTTCCAGAGTCTGGGGGCAGCCACAGAGAAGGCTCCTCTCTCCTGTGTCCCCATCAGATGCACCTTTGAAAGTGGTGGGATGGAGGGAAAGGTCTGCCCTGATGATCTTAACACCTGGACACGCTCATAAAAGGAAATGTGGTCCTTGAGACCCAAGTTATTTCAAGACCGTAGATTGGGCCAGAGAGAATGGGTGCCCCCAAAAATCTCACATGGCATGTCAGGTTTTGAACCCATTGCCCCCCCCAACCAGACCCAGTAGTTTAACCAAGTGCTTCTCAGTCTCTAGCTGTTGTTGATCTGGAGCTCCATGCTGGCTGAGGATATACTACACAGTATATCGGGCCTGAATGCTCAGTGTTCAGTGGTGTCCCGCTTAACGACAACCCCCCGCTTAATGACAAAATTGCTTTACGATGAGTACCGTTAGATGACAAAATTGCTTTACGATGACCATTTTGCGATCGCAAAACGATGTTTCTATGGGTTTTTTTCGCTTAATGTTGATTCGGTCCCTGCTTTGGGAACCGATTTTTCGCTTCACAACGATCTTTATAGCTGATCTTTCGCTTAATGTTGATTTGGTCCCTGCTTTGGGAACGGATTTTTCACTTCACAACGATCTTTATGGCTGATTGTCCGGTTTTCAAAATGGCCTCCCATTGTTTTCCAGACCTATTTCCGGAAGACAGCGATCGAAAATGGCTTCCCCTATGGAGGATCTTCGCAAAACGAGCAGGTATTTCCCCCATTGGAACGCATTAACTGGTTTTTAATGCATTCCAATGGGTTTTTTACTTTCGCTTGACGACGATTTTGCTTAACAGCGATTTTAACGGAACGGATTATCGCCATCAAGTGGGGCACCACTGTAATGTAACAGTGATTTTAATGGAATGGATTATCGCCGTCAAGCAGGGCACCACTGTAATAGGACTGCATATAAACCAAGATATTAATAGAATGTCACATGGTTTGAAAAATAGCTAAGCAGTGTTGAAAGTAGGTGACTCAGAGAGCACAGTCGATTATCAATTGCATACTATAAATGGTAAATAGGGAAATATACATATTTATGGGAGATCAAAAGATTCTAATACATCATCTAAATACACCTCTCTGTAGTGGACAAATCTCTAGTCAAAAGCAAGGAATGAATAAAGGTCGAGAGGTAAGTGGTTAGCAAAAGGCCAGCCAAAGAAGCAGTGGTTGTTCTTTGTTCTTGTTCCCACTAGATTTCTGGAAGTCCAAACAGTAACACTTTCAATTTCTGGCAGATATATCCCAGTTAAATCCCATCCTACATTCTTTCTGCTCCTGGAGAAGGGGATTGTTTGTTAAGGCAAGAAAGCAATCCAAGATCTAGATGTTGAAGAATGTTCTTACTACTACAAACGCTCAAGGCAATGTTAAGAGAACCCATAAAAGATAAGATCAACCACTTCACAAGTTATTTAGCCCTCTATTGAATTCCACCACTGCTAATAAATCACAACTAAATCTTGTTATAATAGCTGCGAGAACTGTATGGAAGTGAACTTACCATGAGCAAATCTGAGTCTTTTTCTTCTTGACTGAAATTGCCCTGTGTTTCTTCAGATGTTTTAATGTGGTTTTCCAATTTTTCCAAACAATTTTCAAAACCTTCTAGTTGCAAAACACCAAGCTGGAAAGAGAAATTGATACCTATCAAGCTGACAATGTTGTAGTCTTGTTTAAGAGAATTTGACAACAAAATGTGACCTTTTTATTTATTTATTTATTTGATTTATCCCGCCCATCTACTTTGCACTTGAGGTTAAAAATGCCCCATGCTGGTAAATAAGAATTAAATTCCACTGATGCAAACATGAAAAGTTTAAATACTGCTGATCTTAAGATAATCCTGAGAAACTAAGGGAACTTGAAAGTGCTTTAAAAAAACGCTGAACTTTAAAAGTGTCTGGCCAGATTCTGGATCATTTTAAAAGTGGTGGTGTAGTACTAATAGCTTATTAATCTGCAATGAGTACAATAAATTGTAAATGGTAACTTGAAAAGATAATAAAGAAAACACTGAAATCAAAACACTGCATCTTATGGAAACTGGGTGATGCACATATGGATGCTACCTGCATTAAAATGCACCTGCGTGACATACTGGAGGGCAATTTCCAATGTCAAATTAGGGAAAAATCATAAAAGGATCTTCTTTGTTCCCTGTCCTGAAAAACACTTACAAATAGCAGCTGACTGTGAAACAAAACTCAGAGGCATACCTGGAGTTCCTTCTCCTTCAGCTGCAGCATCTTGCCCAACCGGGAGACCCTTTGGAGTGGCTGTAGTTTCTCCCGCACAAGGGGCAGTGCTGTGGGCTCAGTCAGCTGAGTGATTTTGTCTGCCAGCTCAGAAACCTGGGAGAAACTTGTTTGGATGTTCTGAAGGTCAACCTGCAATTTCTAGAGCAAATGGAAGATAATGTGAGAAGATGGATGGCTCTGGGCCTAAAGTTGCACATAACAAGTGACAACGAAGAATATCCAGAGCACGTGCACTTTGTGCGCCGGGGGAGTGAGGGCTACCCTTCACCTTCATATTTTAAAGAGGCACTTCCCATGCTCGGTCATGAGCCCGCTCTGCTCCAGAGCCAGTCATATCTATTGTATTTATTGTCTCCCATCTTGACCCAAGATTTTCCCTATTTCCTGGGGATGACAGAAAGGGAAAGTATGCAACTGGCGAAATTTGGAAGCGGTATTTGGATGATGCACTGATTAGGCCTCATGTTGAGTACTGTGCCCAATTCTGGACACCACACATCAAGAAAGATGCTGACAAATTGGAACAAGCTCAAGGAGGGCAAAAAGGATGATCAGGGGGCTGGAAACCTAGCCCTGTGAGGAAAGACTGAAAGAATAGGGCATGTTTAGCCTAGAGAAAGGAAGGGAGATCTGATCGCACTTTTCAAATACCTGAAAGCTTGTCAAAAAGAGGACAGGGAGGATCTGTTCTCGATCATCCCACTGTACAGGACATATAATAATGGGCTCAAGCTACAGGAAATTTTGGCTAGGCTAAATATCAAACTAAACTTCTTAACTGTTAGAGCAGTACGACAGTGGAACCAAAAACCTTGGGGAGGTGGTGAGCGCTCCAACACTGGAGGCATTTAAGAGACGATTAGATAACCGTCTGTCAGATCTGCTTTGATTTGGATTCCAGCAGTGAGCAGGGGATTGGACCTGATGGCCTTAAAGGCTCCTTCCAACTCAATTCTTCTATGATTCTTTGTTGTCCCAAATCACATACTGACTTTCCAGAGCAACACCCTTCTGTACTATGAATTAGATGCTAGAACTAATTTTTTTCTCTTAAAAATATACATCCCTTCATACTAATTCTACATAAAACGATGCTATAATTAAATCAAGTTTGCTCAAAATATAAAAGTTAGAACTCGAAACAATGAGTTACTTGCGACATAGTAACCAGTAACAAGTTTATAGTTTGCTTGTTTCTTGCCGTACGTCACGTTCTGACGTTCCAGAGTAACAATTTTCAATTTTATGTAATGCACACTGGATGTCAAAACTAAAATCGCTATTGAAAAAAAATACATTTCTTCTTATTAACCCTATCTGCAGTCAATGCTAGAATTAAATCAAATTCAAGAGTTAGTAAGAGGGGATGTATATTTTTAAGGTAAAGAAATGCTAAAATAAAGAAATCAGCTCCAATCAATATGTATATTTGAAATACCGTAATGGCTGAAATCCTCTTCCTGAGCACAGCTGGTCACAACTGGAGTGGGCCATTGAATCAAAGGAATTGCCAGAGGAGTTGAATCACTAAATACACCTACTTTAGTTGCAACTTACTACACAAAGTAATCACTCTTAAAGGGTTTGCTGAATATATTTTTTACCTTTAATCCTCTTGTACTAACTGTGAATGGACTCATTATTGAACGTAACAAACAGTAATAGGGAGTAATTTTTTTTTTTGCCAAATAGCCATCTCCAAAGTTGGTGTCATTGTCATTGTTATTATCATTACCGATGATGACAATTGTGTGTCTTCAAGTCAATTCAGACTTAGGGTGGCCCCTTCCAGATTTTCTAGGCAGACAGTATTCAGAATTTGTTTCCCATTCCCTTCTTCTGGGGGCGCCCTAGGAATGCGCAGCTTGCCCGAGACCACATAGGCTGGTTGTCCTCCCAGGATGCCCAGCGGGGATTTAAACTCCCAACCTCTGGTTTTGTAGCCCGCTATCAAAACCACTGAGCTATCCAGCCAGATAAATGATTATTACTCCTATTCAATAGTCACAAACTCCGCACTAAGCAAATGTTCTGAAATGTAGAAAAAAAGATCAGCCAGGCTGTGAACAAGGGACCCCAGAGCTTCGAGGGCAGCGTGCCATTAGATGGCTTAATTCCCTTTGATTTCCTGCGTTCAGGTAACGAACAATACGAGATGAAACAGGAAACTTGGGGCTCTTCTCTACTTGCATCCTGACAGCTCTTTAGAGAGCAGGAGGGGGAGGATAAGGAACATCTCTTCTGGAGTGTATAATTTAACACAATTTTCACGTAACACCAGCTACCTAAAGAAAACGGTGCTGCTTTAAAAAAAAAAACCACAAGAATCACAGCTGAGTTGTTAATGGGCATAAAGTAAGACTAAAAATGCTAATTTACTACCATTAAGGAAAAACCTCACCAATGGTGACTTAATGCCTGCCTGCCTTTTTCTCTTTTGCAGCAATAATTTTCAAGCGAGTCCATTACTTTAAAGCGATCCATTTTTTAATTTCTTGTCCTTCTCATTAGGCGTCCATGCAATTTTTTGAGACCACAAACATATTTTCTACCGGTGACTCAGAGAAATCCAGAGAACTTTACCACAAGTCCTCAATGTCACCTAAAATTATAAGAATCAGGGGGTGGGGGGCTTGGAGATTAGACTTAAAAGCTTTTCAAGTGACAAAGGGATTCCTAACAGCCATTCACAACTGAAGAGGGTGTAAAAAAACACCACCCCATCCATTAAGATTCTTCTTTGGTGTTATTCTTTACAAAGGAGAGGAGAACTGTTTTGTTCTTGTCCGCAGATATTGGGAAAGGATTATTATTAAGGCAAGGGGAGATTTAACAGTTGCTTTGCTGCAGGTTAAACCGCAGAAGCCTCTGTGCTGCAAGGTCAGAAGAGCAGCCGTCGTAAGATCGAATTCACGCAACGGAGGGAGCTCCTATCGTTTCTCCCAGCTCCTGCCAACCTAGACATTCGAAAGCATGTAAAAATGCGAATCGATAAATAGGTACCACCTCAGTGGGAAGGTCACAGTGCTCCATGTCTAGCTGCGCTGGCCATATGACCACGGAAACTGTCTACGGACAAACGCTGGCTCTACGGCTTGGAAAGGGGGATGAGCACCGCGTCCTCGAGTCGGACACGACTGGGCTAAATGTCAAGGGGAACCTTGACCTTGACCTTGTGCCTGACAAAACATTATACCAGTGATTCTTGGTTGAAGGGGGACTGCCTTCTGCAAGGCCACTTCTGTATTGACAAGTATCTGAAGCATTTCTATTGCTGCTGGAGCGAGATTCTGAACTATTTTTCTTGCACCATATATCATAGGAGAGTGTATATTACTGGAGTGTCCTGTTCCAGCAGCTCCCCTGGCTTCCCATCCATTTCTGGGCACAATTCAAAGTGCTGGTTTTAACCTATAAAGTCCTAAATGCCCTGGGTCCAGGCTATGTCAAGGACTGAATCTCAATTTATTAGCCTGCTGATATATTAAGATCATCAGGAGAGGCCTTTCTCTCAGTTCCACCACCTTCAGAGGTGTGTTTGGTGGAGATATAAGACATGGGCTTCTCCGTGGCTGCTCCCAGACTCTGGAACTCCCTCCCATGGGAGGCCAGCCTGGCCCCATCCTTGTTATCCTTCCATGGGTAG